GTAAGTAAGTAAGTAAGTAAGTAAGTAAGTAAGTAAGTAAGTAAGTAAGTAAGTAAGTAAGTAAGTAAGTAAGTAAGTAAGTAAGTAAGTAAGTAAGTAAGTAAGTAAGTAAGTAAGTAAGTAAGTAAGTAAGTAAGTAAGTAAGTAAGTAAGTAAGTAAGTAAGTAAGTAAGTAAGTAAGTAAGTAAGTAAGTAAGTAAGTAAGTAAGTAAGTAAGTAAGTAAGTAAGTAAGTAAGTAAAGTAAGTAAGTAAGTAAGTAAGTAAGTAAGTAAGTAAGTAATATGCTTAATCTAATATTATTTTACAATTGATTATATTAATTTATATTTTATATAAGTCCAATGCATCATTTAACTAGTTCCGTTCTCTTTTCATTTCTCATCATATCATTGTCAGTAATATAATTATTGTAATTTAATAATAATAATTACTGGATAAACTTGTAACCATTCCTATTATTATTATTATTATTATTATTATTATTATTATTATTATTATTATTATTATTATTACTAGTCATAGTACAGTGGACGAGAACTTAGGGGGTAAAACCAATTTTTTTAAAATTTATATTATGTCTCCATTAAATATGAAAATTATACATCAAATACGTTATTTACACATCTCCCTTCAGTTGCTGACTGCATTTATTATGATTCTATCAATTCTATTGTTATTCTAATTACTCCTCATTTCCATTTTTGTTTTCTTCAATTCAATGTTCTATTGATAGGCATTCCTATTTCAATTGGTGCTACATACTATTTATATTGTATCAGCGTAAGTAGTATACACTAAAATAGAAATGATAACCAGAAAATTATCCAAGCTAGTAAATAATAATACTACTATAATTAGTTATAATGACAATTTGTTTCACCCTAATAGATCCGTTGATATCCGGTAATTTTTTCAGCCTGTAATTAAATCAAATTAATTTACTACCTCATTGTTAAATCTATAGGTTATTGACCAGTGCCAACTAACATCAAACTAACACATCTGAATTTACTTTGTGTTGTTTTAGTTTTATCTTCCAATTGTTATTTGGAATTGCATGGAATGCAGAGTGAACATCAACTTTTTGAAATGCAGGTACATCTAGCTGACGAGGACGAAACGCGCGTCCTGCATTCCACTGCTAGCCACTACTCATTTTTGCTTAATAGATCTGAGTTTCTTATCAATTTGTTTCATCTACCTAACCTCAATATTATATGACTTGTGTTATAACTTGAATTTTATTACAATTTGTATATTATATAATTTTCTCATATTCTATTAGGCCTCATAAATACTGTATAGGGATTATGAATGATGTCTAGTATAACTGCGGAGAACCAGATTTTTTTCTTTCTATACTAGAAACGGTGAATGGGAATAACGTGATGAATGTAAGAATATAAAGTCAGTAGATAAAAATAATCTAATATACACTAGGGATAAAATTAAATGTTCTTTGAATAAATTCATTTTAATATGATTAATTTACATTAATTGACAATCAGGTTTGTATCAATGAAAATGTACTTAAGATTGATTAATCAATTACTTATTGTGTATAAACATTTCTTAGTGATCTAAAGGTTAAACGTTCACGCGCAAGACTGATAGGTCTTGGGTTCGAATTTTGCGTGGTGGGATCGTGGATGTGCACTGATGAGGAGTGGCATACTAGGAAAAAACGACCATCCAGTGTTTCCAGGTTTTCCATGGTGGTCTTGTTTCTAATGATCCATGAATTCAACTATGAAATTACTAAAACCTCAACAAAAGCCCTTCTCAAAATTATCATCGAATGCTCACTAGTGACTGTCTCCAAGAATTATTTCCTGTAGTTCTAGTGCGAAACAGTGACCAGTAGAGCTCAATCAGGTCTGTTGTGAGATAGTAACTTATTGAATAAAATGGTGAATGTGTCGCTCCATTTCCTTGATTGGTTGAAGTTAGACATTAACACCGTTGAATGCCGACCGGCCGGCCATCTCATTACTCTATAGATTAAGTGTTGGTCTTCGGTTCGAATCTTGTGGGGAGGGATCGTGAATGCGTACTGATGAGGAGTTACACAATAGAATGACACAGTCGTCCAGTGTTTCCAGGTTTTCCATACTGGTCTAGCTTCAAATGATTCAAAAATTCAACTACATAATTATTGTTTCTTAGAATGAGATTACATTGTAATAGATCACTCGTACTATAATCAATTAAATTCTCTTGGATCACATGACTTACCTTGTTACTGTATTGAGATCAAAAATAAAAGAATTTAAACTTGTAATAATATGATTGATATATCAATGTTTAACTTACTGAATGATAAGCAGAAACTGAAATCAAAATTTCAAAACTGATATCACTAGGCATAGTTACAAAAGTTATGTCTTATTCAAAAACTTAAAAAAACATAATAAACTAGTCATCGTTACAAGTTACATACAATTTTGTAAGTATCAGTCACTTTGGAAACAACTCCATGAATATATGTCTATACGTTAGTACTACAATACAACTAAACTGAGGTTTTCATTAAAATCGATGATAAATTAATAATTTTTTAAAGTTACACCTTATGACAAATTTGACTTTTTACAGTTAATCAATGAATTGTATAAATATCAGTTAAGGGGTTGTGGAGATTGTTAAGTTATTGATTGAGATCATGAACCGAATGATATTAGACCACTATTGAAAACCTGAAAGTACTGGACGACCATTTAGTCCTATTTCAGGACTCCTCAGCAGTGCGCATCCACGATCCCGCCTCGCGGGATTCGAACGCGCGGCCCTCAGTCTCGCGCGCGAACGCTTAACCTACTGGATCTCAATCAAAAACTAAACAATCTCCACAACTTCTAGACTGATAATTACCATGTGCTCATTAGTGACCAACTTCGTGAGGAAATTAACGGAGTTCTAGTGAGAAGCCGTGACCAGTGGAGCTAGTCCGTGTCGGGTAGAGACAGGTATCTACCTCAGTACAATGAAAGAAGGTCGCGCAACTTCGTGGATTGGTTGGGGTCAGACATTAACACCGTAGGATGCCGGCCGGCTCACTCAGTGGTCCAGTAGGTTAAGCGTTCGCGTGCAAGACGGAAGGCCCCGGGTTTGAATCCTGCTATGCGGGATCATGGATGCGCACTACTGAGCAGTCCCACAATAAGACGAAACGGTCGTCCAGTACTCCCAGGTTTTTAATAGTGGTCTAATATCAATCGGTTCATGATCTCAATCAAAAAGTTGTATAAATAGTTTATCTAAATATTTGGTAAAAATAATGCACATCTGATTAAGAAATAAGAAATAGTAATCAGTAGAATCTTGAATTTATATTTCATCCTATTTCTGACATTCTACATAGGTTTATTTGAATCTCAATGCTGATGTACAGATGGGGACTCAAAATCAGTATTTTGTTTGCTGACATTTAGCCTTTTGAGACATAGGGTTAATGTCAAATAGTACAATTTAAACTTCAATAAATCTGTGTTACAGAAAAATGATAATCTATTGATATTATTGAGAACTCATGCTTGTTTGAACTGAGAACTGAACCCTAAAATTATAATACTGAATGTCTTCAGAGTGATTCTAATGGTTTTGCATTTGAGAGAGCTTAACCTTTAGACCTCTGAACCGGTATCCGACAGTGTTAATGCCTAACTTCAACCAATCAGCGATATTGCGCAATCGATCTCCATTGTTTTTGGTGAACAAGTACCTCACAACAGGCACGGTTGAAGTCAACTGGTCACGGTTTATCACTAGAACTCCAGGAAATCCATCTTGAAGCTAGTCACTAGTGAGCACATTATAGTTATCAGTATAGGGGTTTGAAGATTATTGAGTTTTGATTAAGATCATGAATGGATCAATGTTAGACCACTATTGAAGACCTGAAATCACTGGACGGTTTACATCACTGATTGATCTTACCCAACTAACTACAAAAAACTGGGCAGCACTGGAGACCTATTTAAAAGGTTAATTCATAGTGTAACGTTTACTGTAGAGCATAGTTATTCATATGAATGGATAAATGAATACCGAGCGAAAATTCAAGGCTTACTATCTTTTATTTCATTATTTCATTCACAACTTATAGTATCGCTAGAAGATTTTATATTGTTACTGATTAGTTGAATTACTATCTACTATGTATATTCGACACACATGATTATAAATAGTTCTCATTTGTTAGTTTACATTAATCGTTTTACAGATATAATTTAAACATAAAATAACTTACAAATTGTTTACAACAATGGGAATAATCTTTAATACATTTCATACAAATTTGATTTCCTTACGCCTGTTACCCCCAATCGAGCATAGGTTGACGATCAGCATTCTCCAACACACTCTATCCTGGACCTTCCTTTCTAATTCTATGCTATCCTTGTTCATTCTTCTCATGTCTGTCTCCATTTCTTTGGTCCTATCCACTTCTAGCGCTTCCTGATTTCTTCCTCCACTGGAATCTTGTTTGTTCTCTCCCACACTAGGTTGTTGCGGATATTGTCTGGCTAACGGATCCAAAGTATTTTGCATAGCTAATTGTTAATAAACACTTGTATCTTGTGGATGATGGCTTTCGTAGTAGTACTGTCTTGACATTTGTATTGAAAATCCTGATCTTGATGTTGGTTGACAGACAGTTGTTTTGAGTTCCAGATGTTCTTCAATTGTCGATATGTTGCTCTTGCTTTGTCGATTCGCGCCTTCACAACTGCATTAGATCCACCGTGTTCATCAATGATGCTGTCCTGATATGTAACGGTTTATACATCCGCCAAATCTTGTCCATCAAGTGTGATTCGATTAGTGCATGTTTTGTTGTATCGGATAATCTTGCTTTTCCTTTTGTATTTTTTGAGACCTACACAAATTCGATGTGTATACGTTTTTTGCCACACTTTTAAGTATCATATCACTTCATTTATACTTCAGCTAAATATATTTATTTATTCATTCCGATTTCTCATTTTCTATACTACAGATGGCAAGTGAATAGTGAAGTACAAACAGATTTTCAGACAACTCAACAACTAACCGACTATGAAGATGATGATTCCACAAGAAATAGACCAATTTCTGATACATTACCCTTGAAAGTTTTCAATAATTATTTTTCTCTTGGTGCAGATGCTGCAACAGCATTACAATTTCATGAATCAAGAGGTATGTTTTCTATGGATAAAATACATTAACTTATTTTGCTATCTTGAAATACCTGCATCTTGATGTTGCTATCCACAATGAGACTTGTGTTTAGTACTTATAACCTTAAACTTCAAAGTCTTATTAATTTGTTTAACTGGTATGGTGTATATTACATTAATCAAAAATGTTTGCAGTCTTTACTAGTCAAGATTGAATTTTGATCGATCTTTTCTATTTGGAAAAATTAGTCTTAATTATGTTGTTATTAGATTAAAGATCCTCTATAATTTGATTTATCTTCATTGAAATCAAATTTAATCCACTTTTTTTCATACTTAACCATAATAAATGCCTATTTTTGAATTTCATTAATGTCAAGCGATAGGAAGTAGAAGGTAGGAAACCTTCGATATTATCAGTGATTACCTGTAATTTCTTGGGAGGTGATATATCAATTTTGACAAGTTAAATTGGTAATGTGATCAAAAGTAATAACAATATTGATGTCAGTATATAAACATTCGTCTAATTTTCATATGTAAATGTTCTTATCATTTATTAGTTTCAGAGATTTTTTACATTCTTCAACAAAATTCACAGTGATTCAGTCGCCTGAATGTTGCTAGTAGATTTTGCGCACGACTGTCAGCTAGCGCGAATACTAGATCTGTGTTTTTCTGTCAACTAAATCTAGTTACCTAAATTTCCAACACAGTACACGAGATAATAAACGACCGTTCAGTGCTTTCAGATTTTCCATGGTGGTCTAGCTTCAAATAACTCATGATGTCAACCATTAAAATTACTATAATATGCACAAAACCCCTTCTGATATTATTCGAAACTATCAAGTCCAACCTTCACATAGATACTTACATAGTTTACGAGATGTCAAATCACTCAAACAATTGGTTACATTCTGATTCGATCAATAGAAATAGATAAGATTTAAGGACTAGGCAAATATGACTTTGACAACTATTTGTCGCCCAATCAATATTAAATTTTCAATAATAAATTATTATGAACTAAATAGGAAATCAGTAGTCTGATGATACTTCCTAAGATGGCGATCCTAAATATTCAAATTCAACTCTCTTGATACACTTTTCCATTGATTCAATTTGATTACATTTACCATGTCGAGTAGAGACAGGTATCTACCTTAGTACAATGGAAAATAGTCGCTCAATTTTTGTAGATTAGTTGAGATTAAACATGAACACCGTTGGATCCAGGCCGGCCCAGTGGTCTATTAGGTTAAGCGTTCTCTCGCGAAACTGAAGGTCCTGGGTTCGAATCTCGTGAAGCAGGATCGTGGATGTGCACTGCCAAGGAGGAGCCGCACAATAGGGCAAAATGGCCTGTTCAGTGATTCCAGGTTTTCCATGGTGATCTAACGCCAATCGGTTCATGATCTCAATCAATAACTTAATAATCTCCCCAACCCCTATACTGAAAACATAAACTAATGAATTTATTTCAGTTGCTATACAACATTTAACATAAATGTAAAAACAAAAAATTGAAACATCAGTAATAATGAGGTTATATTGTCAATCATGTTGGGTATTTTCCAAAACAGTGTAAACCACCAATAATTAACTGATAAACAATAGTTGAAATCATGAGTCATTTGAAGCTAGACCACCTTGGAAAAACTGGAAGCACTGGACGGTCGTTTCGTCCTAGTACGGGACTCCCCAACAATGTGTATCCACGATCCCGCCCCCCGCGAGACTCGAACCCAGGATCTATCAGTCTTGCGCGCGAGCGCTTAACCATTAAACCACTGAGTCGGCTGACATCCAATGGACTTAATGTCTAACTTCAAAACCCTTTCTGATAATAATCATCTGCTCACCAGTGACTGACTTCAAGAGGCATTTCCTGGAGTTTTAGTGAGAAGCTGTGACCAGTGGAGTTTAATCAGGTCTGTTGTGAGATATCAACTCACTGAAGACAATGGTGTACAGTAGTGCAATTTCGTGGATTGGTTGAAGTTAAACATTAAGAACAATGGATGCCAGCCGACTCATTGGTCTAATGGTTAAGCGCTCGCGGGCGAGACTGATAGGTTATGGATTCGAATCGGGCGGGGTGGGATCGTGGATGGTTATTGCCAAGGAGGAGTTCCATACAAGGACGAAGCGGCCATCCAGTGCTTCCAGGTTTTCCATGGTGGTCTAGCTTCAGTTGACTCATGATTTCAACTATTGAAATTTCTAAAAACCTCCACAAAACCCCTTCTGATTATAAACGATATTTAAATCATTCAATATGTATAATTTATGTTGTCTCTAAGTAAGTAACAAATGGTAAACAAATTATAGTCCTAATAAAAACTAATGACTGGTATACACGAAATAATACAGTGCATAATATAAATTTTTTTAAAAAAAAAACAGAATAATTTCCTAAATTGATTTTCATTTCAGTTTTTATTCTTTTTCGATACAGTTCATTAAGCAAGCATAATTTTACACCAAAAATAAATCAAAAGACAGGAAGATCCTTTTTAAGAGGATCATATTTCAGCATATCGATTGATGTATTGATTACTATTTGAACAGATAAATATTGGCCCCGAATACATATGCACCATACAAGTCACTTGATTTGTGTGTGGGCTATGATACTGCTTGGGTGCCCAAACCGAAGCAGGTGATTTTTCGTAGAGGGCCACACCTCGAGCCTTTACCCGGGAGGTTTAATTCACAAGACAGTGAAGCAACGTCAGGAGATGCAGTCCCATGGTAACCATTGACCAACAATAGGTTCATACGCCATTTGTTCCCTCAGGATCCTGGAGCTCATGTGCACCATTGGTTTGAAATCAGGGTTTTCCAACACTCCTCCATATCCACCATCTCGGTTATGAAGCAGGACATTCGCTTTTCGTCCTCAATTTTGTAAAAACACCGCCTCCATGAGAAGGCAGTCAGTAGTATTACCCTGGCAGTGGATGTATAAGCGTGGCCAATCTGAGAGCATTCCGAGAGGGAGAGTTAACTCTCTTCACTTATGACCATACGACAGCATTTGGGGGCATCAATATACTCGGACACTTTAGAAAACTGATTTCTGAATTAAGTGAGAATTGTTTCAAGAAAAAGATAATAATAATAAAGGAAAGATGCAATAAGTGTTGTATGTTGTTTGTACTGAAAATGAAAACATAAATTTTATTTAATTAGTAAAAGAAACAACGATTCTCTAACGATAGTTGAAAACAATCAACTACCTTTGAAAATATTTAATATTATCAAGTTGAAATGATGAATCTCTTTTAGAAAATAAAGTGGTGACCGGACCAATGACGCAGAAAACCCGTGCGAGCAGTCTGAAGTACTTATCGGTCCTGCTTCCCGCCTAGCCTAGACCAGCCAGTTAAGTCCAGAACACCAATCTCAGCCTCAGCGATATGAATCATTTATTTCAAACACACTAGGTTTATATACCAACCAGACAGACCACATCCTACCATAAAATAGAAAACAACATTTGTACAAGATTTAGCCAAATGTGGTTGTGAATGTGGGAAATAGTGATTGATAGACAGGGCATAATTCAAGAATGGTAAATCGTATAATAATAGTTCATAGGTGAAAATAAGACTCATAATAAGAGAGGACATGAATATGAATAGTTTAGTTATTTAACAATTATACGATGAAAATATACGCATAGTATTGGTCCATAAATGGATCCCAAAAGTTACCATTCATTATTCTCATCGAGATATAACATTCAGAAATATATTACTCTGATGAATTTGAACTTTCATTATCTTATTTAAATTTATCAAGTTGACTAACTGTTTGTAATAGATCTATGTGTGTATAGATTGTCATTTGAGTCGATTTGATCAATATTTCAAATAAAAGTAACTAAAATTGAAGTACTTCTAAAATAGATCTAATCAACTAGCTGAATAAAACTACTTTTTATAAATATACACATACACAGATATAGTTGAACAGATAAACTTTAATACCTTCATATCTTTAGTTAGTAAACATTCGTATTGAAATCAAGAGTATTATTGATGACAATTCAGCAATTAATGAGAAGGTACTGTTGTATTTGTTTGAAGCTAAAAGACTTTGATAAGTCGCTTAGCCACAACGTAGGGATCAGGCACATATATGCATCAGTTCAAATTGCTACGCCTCATTAGCACAGCAAGACGAACACCGGATTCATAGAAGCAGTTAACTCAGTGGTGTAATATATAAAGGAAAGATTACATATAAGAATACAGTACAGGAAGAAAGAATTAGTACTTAGAAAGAAATATATGAATCGATTTTAATCTTATCGTTTAATAGAAGACAGAGAATGTAAACGCCTACACCCTTTTGATCGATTCTGAGCCATGTCACTCAGAGTCTCCAACGATTGATTACGATCGTCATGCAGACCTCAACCAAGTAATCTGCATCTACCAACATGGCTCAGACTAGAAGTTAGTGACTTCAAGAACTGATTCCACGTTTTGGCTGATTTGGCCACCCCTTCCCTAGCACTAGACAGCAATGCTTGTCATGGTAATCGGTGTTCACGCATACGTAACACATGACCCAACCATCTCAGTCGATGGACGTTCACAACCTCATCAACTGATTTACCATCATTCCGTAATACCCTACGTCTAACCTTGATAAAATTACACGACAGTGAGTTTAAATGGAATAAGACTTGACAATTTCTGTTTTAAATAATAATCTATCCCATAGTTAGAAGTGTTGATCATTAATATATGAATTTTATGAAATTCAATAAAGTTAGAAGAATTATCTTTTCTAAAAAAAGATTATTGTTATTACAATACTGTAATGTATCGAGTTCATATGAAATAGTTCCCAATCTATGGTAAGATTAATTGGAAAAAATATACTAATTTCAAAATATCACTTTTACACTATAGTATTGTGTTTAATCTGTTTCCTCGTTTCGTCCTATTATGGGACTCCTCAGCAGTGCACATCCACGATCCCACCTCGCGAGATTCAAAC